CGCGAGCGTAGCTCGGGTAAACGTTAATAATAATAATAATAATAATATCTCTGGTACCATGTATACAGTACGTACAACTATAAGTGCTATAATTACAACAGCTAGAACAGGAATTCTACATCCAAGTTTAGTAACCCATAGCGAATTGGCAAAACAATTGACTCAAATTAAATTAAATTTACCTATTTGAAAACAACCAAACGAAATTTATGAGTTGAGCAAAATAACAAAAATGGCCGTATACTATAGTGGAAATCAAATAGTTTTCTTAATCAAAATACCTTTAGTAACTGAACTCTAATTAACATTATTCAAAATAATTCCAATTACACATAAAATTAATTTCAATCACAGCATAATACTAAAACCAGAATTCCAGTATGTAGGTATAACTCGGAATAGGAGACAATTCACAACGTTCACTGAGACACAATTATTAAGCTGTACCGAAACAGACATTTTCAACATATCTCCAGAATTTCTGCCTATACAGCATGAGTCAGCAAGACAACCATGTGAAATCTCATTATTCAAAAATCCGGAAATACTACCCAATAATTTCGAGGCAGGAATCATTTATTTATTTATTTATTTTAATTTTAAACGGGCTGAAGCCCAATACATTGTTTAATATGTGTATAATAACAGGTGAGATTAAATATAGTTATAATGAGTTACAGTATAAATCAAGAAAACAAAATAATAATATAATAATATAATAATATAATAATTTGAGTGATAGAAACATTAATGTGACTACAGATAATATCTATTAATATAATAACAAAAAGACTCAATAGAGTGAATATTAAAAAAATCAATTTGGGTTTCATTAGCTAATCTGGTGGTTCTATTTAAAGGTGAATTCATTATATAGTTTGTTCTGTGCAAGTGATTGTGAAAGGTGTAAGTATTCCTAATTTGTCGTTGAGGTACATAAAAATTTATAAAACTAACCAGTTCTGGACAATCTATGTAGCCATTTACCAATTTAAATAAAAATTTCAAATCAAGTATGTTCCTTCGTACGGCAAGGCTACTCATATTTAAAGTACTTAATAAAGGATTATATGGAGAATGCGGAAGTCGTGGAATATTACATTTGTAAGATAAAAAACGAAGGAAACGGTTTTGGATTGATTCGAGGCATTGAGTATGAATATTTGCAGAAGGCGACCAGATTATAGAATTATATTCTAGAGTTGAGCGTACTAAAGAAAAATATAGTGTTTTTAACGTTATTGGATTTGAAAAAGCCTTAAGCCGGGATCCCACGGCGCGGCGTGTGGTGTGGTATAGAGCGGTACTATAAACGCGCCGTGGGATTGGTGATGCTCGGCGCGGCTCGCGTCTATCCGAAAATTGTCGGTTTTTGGTACCCGAGTCAAAGGAAATCATTCACACTCGTTGCTCGGCTTGTGAAACCAGTCCAACGCGTTCCCACGGACTAAAGGGGCTCGTGTGTATTTTCACTATTTTTTTTTACCTTTTTTTGAATATTTTATTTATTTATTTTTGAATAACATGGAGTGGTCAAATGAACTGATCTTAGAATTTCTTGATCTGTATGAACAACAACCATGTATCTGGAACCCAAAACATGCTCAACACAAAATTCGAAATTCCGTACATGATTCGTGGGAAAATATTTCAAAAAACCTCAGTGTACCATATTCAATAAATGACTTAAAAAAGAAGAAAGATTCGTTGATGGCCACATACAGGAAACTCGTTAACAAAGTTAAAGCGAGTAAAAAAACGGGTTCAGGATTAGATGACATCTACAAACCTGACTGGTTCGCATACGAAGCAATGGCCAAGTTTCTACATAGCGTGAACCAACCTAATACCACCAAAAGTTTAGAGGTAAATGTATTCAGATTAAATAAATAATAATAAATATAACTACTTAATAATAATATATAGGTACACTATTGAATATTATTCTAAGCATCAAATATTAATTAACAATAATTAAATATACCAGGCTTTCTTACATAAATTATAATTATACTTTAAAAATTGTTTTGCCACGGAACAGCACCATTCGTCATAAAATATTCTGTGAATAATTCTCTGACTTCTTTCGCATCGCTCGGTGACCTACGGGGCATTCTACGAATTGGTAAGAACGATGCTTCGTTATTGTGGTTTTGACGCCATGACCCTGGAATAATTTCACCATCTTTTTCCGAGTCAAATGTTCCTTGTGGACAATAATTGGAAGACGAAGTTTTACTTTTTCTTAAAAAATTGTGCAGCAATGCACAAGTCATTGTTATATTTGTCACTTTTTCGGGATTGAGTAACATTGGACGTCTGAATACTCTAAAAACTGATGACATTATACCAAAGGCATTCTCTACCACTCTTCGTGCCCTAGATAATCTATAATTGAATACTCTTTTTTCATTGCCCTTGTCATAAACACCAGAATACGGTTTCATCATATGATTATTTAGAGCAAATGCGCTATCCACTACGAATACATATGGTAACATATTGGTCTTGGCAGGAAGCGGTTCATCTGCTGGAAGCATAAGCTGTTCATTTTCAAATTTTTTCCATAAATCTGTGTTTCGATATACACCACTGACACTTATTCTTCCTTGACACCCAACATCAACGAAAATAAAATTATAATTAGCATCAACTAGTGCCATAAGAACGATACTAAACGTCTCTTTGTAATTATAGTATTCTGTTCCACTTTTATTTGGACATTGGATTACAATATGCTTCCCGTCAATTGCACCCAAGCAATGGGGAAAATTCCATTTGTCGTTGAACTCTTCGGAAATTTTAAGCCACTGTTCGGAATTTTGTGGCAGCTGAAAAAAATAATGATATTATATTATAGCCTTAGGTATTGAAAACAACAAAATAACAACTATATTGATCGATTACAAACTACTCTTATTTGTTTTTTGAACCTTGTACCTCAGGTTTCTAGGTACAACACGATTCTGTCGTGATAAAAAAAAGGTAGACAAGTGGCGGATACAATTAGTCAGTACAATTGTGTCCCTCCAAAAAGGTCATAGACATAAATAATTGCGGTCTGGGCATATTCTATAAACATACGTAAAATATACTTGCAGAATTATCTTACAAATTTGTAATAATATATTTTTTAATGGTACACATTTTAGATTCTGAGCAATGCAATGCGATGAATGTATTGAATTTACAATAATGTATTTTTATTTTTTAAAAACAAAAATTATTAAGAAAAAACGGGAATTTTTACTCAAAATTGGTTTTCTATAAAATTGATTTTGGTTTTTTGCGTAACATTAAAACGAATAACCGTAGACACTTGAAATGTACACAACATGTTTATTATATCAGAGTCTATACTATATACAATTTTAAAAAGGTGCTCTGCTGTACAGTAGGTTACAAGTGGGTCACTGTATAATAGAAGGTATTAAATTTGAATTCAATGATATAATATCATTGTATATAAGAAAAACGATTATGAGCGGAGACGATATGTTAGTCTAGGTACAAATCATATTACAGTAAAACTCGCTTAAGACGCTCTTTAAGGGACCAGCTCCCATGAATTTATTATTTGCTTTTGAATATCTTCGACTACATTGAGATAAGCCACCTCTGATTCCAGATTCAAACATCAATAATTGATCGACATCTGTTAATAAATCTAATTTTACTTTTGTCATTCTTAACATACTATCCCATGCAAATCCTGGTGTTGTGTAATACCACATAGGATCTAATTTATAATTTTTTAAAGAAATGTCTCTAAAATTTTCTATTATATCTGTTAACAATAAAACATCAATCAAATTATATAAACTAGTGAATTCACGCATATTTTTCTGTGAGTTTTCATATTCCTCTTTAGTTATATTTTAATCAGTGAGAGAACTATAAAAATTTTTAATAGGACGTAAACATGTTTCATTAAATTTTTCTTCACAATCCATATACTCATAGGGATAAGCTAACTTTCTAGTAACTAAATCTAAATGTTCTTATGCTTCTATCATAACGCTCAATAACGTTTTTAAGTATTTTAAATTTTTTCTCTAATATTGGAGGTAAATCTGATAAATATCTTTCACAAATATGACATTTATCAGATTT